AACTCAACCCCTAAGAGGGGGTAAAATGTGTTTTTATTAATTCCTTAATATCTCTCAGTATCTCCCAAGCCAGCTAAGATATCGACTTGGTGTTTCCCTAAAAAAAAAAGTACACGTACAAATGCCTAAAAATACATTTTTTATTCAATTTCCAGTGATTTCTGATTGGGATTTTTAGCTGATGTCCAGGTCATTTCGAGCATTAAAATCCATGATTTTTTGAGTGAATGACCCCTCGTTGCGTTGTTTATAAAGTGGGCGTGAGTACATTTCCTAATTTTTTCGCCGTAATAACCGATAGAGCAGCCGTCAATTATTGTTTCGTTATCCTAAACATTGCGCGGATAGATTCGATCGTTTCAATCGATTTCAGCATCCCCTTAATAGAAGGCAAGAAATGTCCATCAGCGCACATGGGTTGGCAGGCTTCGTATCGAATTTGTTTTACTGTTCAGCGTGCAATGCAATGACTTAGAGAAATTCCCGGTTCCTGGTAAATGTTCCCACTTTTCTCGCAACTGGCCGATTCCTTCCCTGGTGAGACAGTTTACATAGATGCTGCTGGACCAGGTATTTACGTAGTTACCGACCCACGGCACCAAGCAGACTGCCACGACCTAATCATCTCGCAATTTCCTCGGCAACGACCTCGCATAAAATTAGCCGCGTACGTGAATCGTCCGAGCAGGGAGAAATTGCTCCAATTACGCCAAGTAATTGGAACAGGTCGGGAGCGTCTTCTCCACTTAAGAACGAATTCGGAAATGCCGTGCAGAGACAAAAGGACTGATTTTCCCTAACGATTCTGTAAACGTCTTTTATTCCTTCCAAAGCCGATTTTAACGGGAAAAATGAGATTATTGACAATATTTTCAAAATCTAATCGGAAGTCCCGTGCAGAGACAAAAGGACTGATTTTCCGTAAAGGTTCTAAAAACGTCTTTTATTCCTTCCAAAGCCCATTTTAACGGGAAAAATGAGATTATTGACAATATTTTCAAAATCTAATAGGAAGTCCCGTGCAGAGACAAAAGGACTGATTTTTCCTAAGGGTTCTAAAAACGTCTTTCATTCCTTCCGAAGCCCATTTTAACGGGAAAAATGAGATTATTGACAATATTTTCAAAATCTAATCGGAAGTGCCGTGCAGAGACAAAAGGAACGATTTTCCCTACCGATTCTGAAAACGTCTTTTATTTCTTCCAAAGCCCGCTTTAACGCAAAAAACGAGAGTATAGAGAATATTTTCAAAATCCAATCAATTTGACAACACGAAAACATGGAACCCCTGGCAGAGTCTCGTTCCAGACGATTAATATTAATACCATTTCGATAACTCATTTATTTCCCGAATTAGTTTCTCAGATGTGTCTTCAGCCAGGCAAAAGCAACATTTGTTACTGCCTTTGGTTAATAGCAAAAACCGTCCCGGTTGAGTGAACCAAATGTTAATTTACACGATCCGACTAATTTCAATCCAATTAACCGAAATGTTTTGATTAAATTGTTTCGTTAACTTTAGGAAACATCTCAGTAGGTGTACCGAATATTTCGGTCGAGTGTACAAAATTAATTTAATATTTGGTAGGATCTACGTGGAACGTTTAATTGCAATTAACCAAAAGTCACGAATAGAGGAGTTTCCCCAATGAGGCGCAATCAAATATTGGATTTTCCATATGATAACCACATCCTACGGTTTAACCAAACAAAAGTTTCATTGATCCGAGGGAATAATTTTCACGTCTTTCGGGGGAAACGGAAATACCGATAGTATAAGGAAAATACGAGCCAGTCGGTACCGAGGTACATTTTCCCTCGCAGGATTTTCCCTCGCAGGATTTTCCCCTACAGCGGGGAAATAAAATTAGGTATGTTATTAGTTTTGTTCGAACTGATCAGAGTTTATACCGCAATTTTAATCCGGGACCCTATTAAACGAAGTCGAACTCCACGTCGGCAACGATAACAGCTCGAGGGCACACGTGGAATCGGTTTTCCGATACTCCAAACGTTATCAGAGAATATTCACTGACCGGCTGACCGTGTTCTGATAACGCTACTGGAAGAAATACCAGAAGGAAGATCCCACTTTCTTATCCTGCATTCATCCTGATCATTTATCAGTATTTTCTCAGTCGAAGGTAAATCCCGGTTGATCCACCTCTGGAGAGATTTATTCGACGTGGGTCGAAAGTTAATTAAGAAAAAGCAAACCATGATGCACACTTTAATCCGGTACAAAAGAAAAAGAATAAGAAAAACACACCAGCACGCGTGAATCAATATTTATTATTAAAGGCTCCTACGTCATTAATTACTGTTTCCCGTTAATTGTACTATTTCGGTCACAGCTGATCGGGCGTTAATTTAATTAAGTTCTGCCATGTTTAACTAATCCAATCTTGGACGGAATTCCAAGTGATTTACACCGACGGATTGCAATCGGTGGATTTAATACAATACCATGAACACACGTCATTACTCCCATTGCTCTACTATCGTTTTTTTCACGGGGAGAAATATCTGGTTGAATCAATTTTGTTGGTTCAACCATAGAACACATGACTGAGATTCTTTGGTTAATACTTCTTAATTGATCGCCATCAAATAGTGAAGTAATTTGGTACATTTAACCGAAATATTCGGTTCATCGAGTAAATTATTTGCAAAAGTCAGCGAAACGATTTAATTAATACACTCCGGTTGAAGCAAATCGGTTCGATGGGGTCAACTGAAATTCGATTTGCTCAGCCGAAAGATTTTCTGCAATTAACCGTACGCGGTTAAACGATTTTCTGAAATTAACCGAACGCGGTCAAAGGATTTTCTCAAATGAACCGAATTCTTCTTACGCGTGCACGATTGTGAAATTGGGGAGATAAACATGGCTGCTTCGGGTCTACGAATTTAACGGAGATTAAACTCCGAGACGCGGGGTAATAAATCGCGAGAGAAAAATACTCCGCAAACGTAATTGTCATACGGCTGACCAATGCAAAAGCGTAACCACTGATACTGGCGGTGAGCCAGGGAGAAGTTTCATACCGGCTGACTAATAGCCGGCGTTTCCACTGTCGAAGGCACTGAATCTAGGAGGGGAGTATTTTTGACGGAACTGCGGATCTACGGCATAGTACGTCCCTGCGATTGGCCCGAAGCCAGCGCCATGTTTTCCGGCACATAAGCGCGTCCGCCTAATCGTCGACTTTTCCACTGCCAAGTAGTGGAAATTTCGCGATAGCATTGCCAAGTAGTAAAAGTCGAGATAAGCCTGCCAACAGCTCGGCGGACCGGAGACGAAAATAACCAGGACTACCGAATTTCAGAATTTCATCGAGAAAACTAAAGTTTAATGACCTTTGCAGCTCCCCCGGAAATAAATAGAGGTTTCACTTGTAATGCCAAACCATAAAGACAATCCGTGTAACGCATTGTACTCTTATATACCAAAATACTAAAGTAATAATATCAAAGTAATACTACCAAAGTAGTACTACCAAATCACAAAATTTCATGAAGAAAACTAAAGTTTAATGACCATTGCAGCTCCCCCGGAAATAAATAGAGGTTCTACTTGTAATACCAATCCATGAAGATAATCGATGTAACGCATTGTACTATTATACCAAAATACCAAAGTAGTACTACCAAATCTCAAAATTTCATCAAGAAAACTAAAGTTTAATGACCTTAGCAGCTCCCCCGGAAATAAATAGAGGTTCTATTAGGTTGTCCCATAAGTTCCTTCCGCATCGTGTATTCATGTCCTATGAAAAAAAGGGAAGAAACTTATGGGACAACCTAATACTTGTAATACCAATCCATGAAGACAATCGACGTAACGCATTGTAGTTTTATAAATTCTAAGGTAAATATATTTAATTTCCAATTGTTAATAAGACCGTCCTTAAGTGCAACATTAAACGAGAGTTTCGGGCTTGGTGTCGTTTTTTTCACCTGACTTCATCCCTTAATTCCTTGCCTTTCCCCTTAAAGAATACCCTTTTCGCTCCCGTTCGTTTTTCGCATCATCCCCCCGCATTAACGTTAATTTATTTACGACCTCAGGAATTAGTAACGTCCGAGGTGGAAGTATCGGTTAACAGGCATCGATCGGGAGCAAATTAATGGTCCGGAGAGTTCGCAGCGGTACCTCCCCTAACTAGTAGGATACATATTGTCAACTTACAAACCGAAATACCCTACAAATCGACCCCTAGAGAGACAATTTGATTCCCAAGATCTATAAGCCACCGGAAAAGCAATATAAAGCTCGAGAGCCAAACGAGCGAAAAGCAGTCGATTTCGTTAAATGAACCAAACGATTTCGTTGAACGAAGCAAACCCAGCTTAACCAAGCCATTTCGTTCAACATTTGGCAAATTTACAAAAACATTTGGCACATCGGCTAAGAATATATCTTAAAATTAAGAAATCGATTTAACCAAACGCAGGTAATCGAACGATTCCGTTGAACGAAGGAAGCCCAGATTAATCAAGCGGTTTCGTTCAACATTTTGCAAATTTACAAAAACATTTAGTACATCGGCTAAGAATATATCTCAAAATTAAGAAATCGATTTAACCAAACGCAGGTAATCGAACGATTCCGTTGAACGAAGAAAACCCAGCTTAAATCAAGCGGTTTCGTTCAACATTTTGCAAATTTACAAAAACATTTAATACATCGGCTAAGAATATATCTCAAAATTAAGAAATCGATTTAACCAAACGCAGGTAATCGAACGATTCCGTTGAACGAAGGAAGCCCAGCTTAAATCAAGCGGTTTCGTTCAACATTTTGCAAATTTACAAAAACATTTAATACATCGGCTAAGAATATATCTCAAAATGAAGAAATCGATTTAACCAAACGCAGGTAATCGAACGATTCCGTTGAACGAAGGAAGCCCAGCTTAATCAAGCGGTTTCGTTCAACGAACCTTCCGTTTCCCCCTGCGCGCAGAAGACGCGCAACATGGCAACGTGGAACTTACCGGGCCGAGGTTGACGAAGCCGTTCCTAGCGGCGACTCGGTCGGCGACTCGCCACTCGGCGGGCTCCCTCATCTTGACGAGAAAGGAGTTGGTGAATACCTCGGCTCGGGCGTCCGCGAGGGACGCGCCGAGCCAGGCGAGGGCCCCGAGGACGAGGAGAGGCGAGCGCATCGGTGCCGGGGGGGCAAGGGCGGACGCGACACGTGCCCTGGCGGTCCTCATGGGCTCTTCTCGTCGGTGGCTCTGCCCGGTGGCTCTCAGGGGCGTCCGCGACTCTCCGGGGGCCCGGGTCTCAGGCTCGCTGGGCGCGCGGGCGGTTATCGGAGGGCTCGCGGGGCGCGCGACATGGCCGGCCGGGTGTCCGCGATCGACTGACCGCCGGCTCGAGCCAAACCTTTCCACGGGGCCCGCGGCGCTCGGCGCGCCTCCGCGCCGCGCCGCCGGCGAGCGCGCCCCCCGAGCCCCCGTGACGTCATCCGCCATATTGATTCGCGCATGCGCTGAAGGACCGCGCCGCCGGACCGCCGCACGCTCGAATACGGACCTCGAGGAGAACATCTCGCACCGCGTCGACCTGCCACCGACGCGCTTCTGCGGCGCCGGGACGCCTTTCGCGGCTTTATAACCCCCGAGCCGACATCCTTGGCGAGGGCCGCGACTCCTCCACCGGACGAATTATTCTATTTTTAGAGCCGATTCGTCGGGACGCACGAGAATCTTCTGTCCCTGCTTAACCGTTTTATGAATGTTTATTAACGAACGAGGACCTCCTGTCTCTAGTTAATCGCTTTATATATATTTATTAACGTACGAGGATCTCCTGTCTCTACTTAACCGCCTCATGTATGTTTGTTAATGCGTTAAACGCTTTGAAATTAAACTTGGGCGTCCACGGTATCGTATTTAAGGATTAATGCCGCTTAAATGGGATATTAATCACGATTAGTTTTAAGGGTTTATTTTTACCTTATTAATTATTTTAAAGTCGTGTACAGAGAGAATACAGATGCCTCCCAAACGGTGTCGGATCTGTAACGAAGACGTTCATATCTGTCAGAAATAAATTGAAAAAAAAAATTGCCTCGGTGGAATGACATCCTAAGAACGGAAATAATAATTATCCGAGTGGTCATTCACACATGAAATCATGGATTTTAATCCTCGAATTCACGTAGAGATTACCTGAGAATTGTTGGAAATCGTCGGAACGTTGCCACAATTTTAAGACTGTCACTTGTTACATTATGTTATTATATTACAATCGCATTATCGCTTATCATATGATATCGGTTATCAAAGAAGAAAATTTCCACCAAGTACAGCGCAATATAATACAAGATTTGTTTCTGTAAATTTCTAAACCGTACATGTAAAATAAATGCACCATATCTGGAGCGACTCATATCCACTGTGTATATCTGTACCAAGGAGGTAAAGATAAGTAAGACCATTTTAAGAAAATTTAAAAAAAAAAAGATAACTCTCATAATGGCTAAAACTGGACTTGCGACTGTTTACCTCTGCTGGATATATTTTCCTGCAAGTTTAACCCCTGTGTGTGTGTATGTGAAATGGAGTGGAAAAATGAACGGATACATTGTTTAGTTTCCCCCGCATATCGATTCTCGATATATCGACTGGAATATATCGCTATTGGTACGTGCCGACGTCAGGTCGTAGACGGTGGGAAATTTCGGGTTATCGAGGACATTCCGATATTGGGAGTTCACGAGTGAACTCCCGAACTCTCATAGATACCGGGGAGGAATGATATGATATTGCAGCAGCAAATCGCGTTGGGAAAAATTCCATCCCGGAAATTCTTTCGAGACTGACTTTAAAGAAACTAACGTCGAGGTTTCGTAAAGACGCGGTGCTAGGAAATCCCTTCGAATCGATTTCAATAAAACTTTGAAGTACGCGACAAAATTCCTTTTTTTTTTCTTTCAAGATTTTCCCGCCCCACGAAAAGGTTCGATTTTTATTTAGACAATTTTAGGAAATGTTCAAAGTTTGGTATAACCATGCCACGGGGAACCCTTTGAAGGGTCTATATCTTCCTTGCAAACCCCAAAGGGAGAAGAGGGAAAAACTTCGTTTAACGCGAAAATAACTCCGATCTCAAGGCGGAGATTTCGACGCCGGGGGTAGAAAAATTAATGGTCGGTGTTTATGCAACGTCTAAAAGGAGAAAATTAAAAGACCGGATTATATTTTTAGACTGTGAATCGTGCTTAGATTAACAAGTAACAATTGATTAAAGGGGATATTCTCCCACGCCGTTCTGTGTTGAAAAAATTAATATCGCGTTTCAATCTACAGCCGAGTAAAGAATGCACGGAGATAATTAAATGAAAGTCGGATTATTATTCAATGTTAAATGCGACTTGTGTGACCGAAGCTCGCATCTCGCTGTTCCCGTGCAAAGTTTGTAATCTAGTTTTAATAATACATTTCCCTGAATAGGATGCTGATTACCTTCCAAAGCGGAGGAAAGTTCGCACCTCGCGCGTGCAATGGAATTTTAAATTTTCTTTTAGAAAATAATTTCCGCAGTCCACTTCCGAAATTCTCTTGGCTACGCGGATATAAATTAGCACAATAAGTTTAATTAACGACACAATGACGTAAATAAACCATACACATGCATAAATTAATACAACATAAGTATACCACGCATATACTAACGCAAAAAAAGGAATTAACAATATACAACGCCATTTTTGCCATTCAAGATTCCTTTCGTTTTCAAACAAAGTTGTTCTTCCTCCACACCCAAGTTATGTACCACTTTAAAACGCAGAGATTGCTCTACATTATAATAGGAATAATTGTGCTTTAAATATTTATATTTTTTTTTCAAGCTATTTAAGTAAATATGGAAAAGAAACAAATACGGGGGATTTTCTTGTATGTGTTCAAAGTGGGCTTTAAGAAAGCTGCAGTGGCTCGGAATATCAAATATGCATTTTATCCAAGGACCACTAAGGAACGAACAATAATAGCGTTTTCAGAAGTTCCGTCACAAAGACAAGAGGCTTGAAGCTTAAGAGCGTTCTAAACGACCTGCAGCCTTTGATGCAATGAAAAATTGAATAATAAATACTATTCAAAGCAGGATTAATATTATCAACATGCAGAGCGATTTCCTTCGATGTTATAATTTCTATCTGTTATTTCTTATCGTTGAATAAACTTGAGCGATTGAGAATAAAACGCGAAAGCGAGCTTAGTGGCGAAGGAAAAGGGTTGAGAAACAATAGGACAAGGTGAGAGGTCTAAAGAGTGGAAAAGGTCAAGCGAGGAAACCTGTATCATCGCCGAACGGAAGTGACGGTTTAGAGGTTAGGTGTGCGCGTCCTTCGGCTCGCTGCGATCTTGCCTGTTTTCCGGAGGGTAGAACAAATATTTATGTGGGAGTAATGCTCTGGCTCAAAGTTAATCGATAGGAAGCGACCATCGAGGTCTCGCTGACGTTTTAAGGGAGTTGTTATTGCGCAAGGTAATCCAGGGAATTATTGGCCGCGCGCAGTGGAACGAGTCGGCAATAGTCGGACAGTAACTCGACGAACTTCCCTACCTACAGTAGAACAAATCATGAAAAGTCAGACGAGCTCGGCCCTCGGTAGAAAAGAAAACTGACAAGGCAGGCAATGATTATTTGACATTTTCCTTACCAACAGAATAAAATGCGAAAAAAAGGACTGACCATGAAGTAGTATGAGTGCTGCCTTCAGTGGAGAATGCGGACCGCTCGCGTACTAGCCTAGGTAAGCAGGTTGAAACGTACTTCCCAACGGTAGAGCAAACTGCAAACAGCTGACGTGGGTCTTCGAAGAAAAGGGAGTTCTACATAAGCAATAATTGCACCTGTCATAAACTGAAAATGAACATTGAAGAGTCTATTGGAGTTTGAACAAAACTATCAGTTAATTTAAGAGACATTATATTCGTATCGAGACAGGTACTTCTTGCGAGTAATGTAATTAACAATTTACAAAGGCAGCTTTGAACTTAGTTCATATTAGATAATCTATCCAATGGTAATATAAAATTCCGCAAATACAGTTGATACGATAGAAATGTTTAAACTGGTTAACAGACGTATAAATAAATAACATGTAGGCACAATTCTCATTCACGGTAGGCTGACAGGAAGGTAGCAATCACTGCAAAGCCTAGGAAACTAGAATCGCACTATTCACTGGAAATATTTCAACACTCACTTTGTATTACAATGGTACCAAGTACAAGCCATTTGGAAACAATACCAGAGTTAAGTTTCACTAATTTCACCTTTTCACTTGCATCTTCACTGCTGAAGTGGATTCGATATTAAGTGTCTTCATGTTTGAATGCATCTTTCTTTTTGCTTCCAGTCTCATCTTTGCTTCCAAGCGCTTCCTTTCAATTTCTTCTGGAGTACACTGAACTACTTGAGAGGTGCTTGACTCCTTCCTGTCATGTTTGGCTTCGCTCGAAGAATTGCATCTATTTCCGCAAACACTTTCTGCTTTTTCTGCACATCTATTAACATTAAACAGCCATTCGTTCGAATTGCTATTAATCGAGGTCAAATTGGTGTTGTTATAGGTATTACAACCTCGTAACGTGGGACAGTTCGTACTTACGGAAGAGCCACTTACTGCTCTTTGCAGTACGCTAGAATTATTTTTCTGATTTAAATTTGTATTTGAGGAAGATTTTGTTACATGTGTAGAGTGTGAGGTTGTTACTCTCTCACATGAACTGTTATTACTTCTCTGACCATGGGAAAGAGAATCGGAAAGGCTTTTTGTTTTGAAAAACTTTCTGTCTTTCAGGATTTCACCGGGCACTGTTTCTTGACTTTTATTCATCCTTGAATTAACAGCTCCTAAGTTATTGTTACTTGAATCAATAGTTTTTAAATAACTGTTATTAATACTTTTGTTTAAGTTTAGATTCTCATTGCTTATTTTGTAACTGGAACTTGGTTTTTTCGGAACGAAATCACTCGATTTAAAGGATATGTTAGCCTTTGAAAGTGCTGAATGATTATTTTTATAAGTCTTTCCATATCGTTCTGGTGTGATACTTCGGTTTGAAGAACTTGTCGATGTACCTGACTCCATACATAGCAAACTTTCAGCTTCCTCGCACGCTGCTAAACAATCATCAAAAGAGTCATCTGGAAAATCAAATTCTAAGCCATTCGTTTTACCAAAAATTGAATTTTTTGAATTTGCTGTGCTTCTAGAACATCTTGAAGTACTGCCGTTAGAATGTTGCTTTGCAACTGTACCTTTTGAAGTTGGTAATTGTTTTGTCAAACAAGTTGACGATTTTTTATAAGTATCACCTTTCATCACACTTTTTGTTCCTGATTTTTCCACACTGTCCATCATACTGTCAGTCGGAATAACAACACGAAGGTCGCGAATCATTAAAGCCGCGGTCTCCTTGTTCTTCGGATCAACAGTGGGATGCACAATGATGGGGTTTCCTACACTCGATAAGCCTATATTTATTTTCTCCTCTATTTCTTGGCTGCATCGGACCATTGAGTCATCAATGGAATCATCAAACAAATCTTCAAAGCTGTTGGAATGACCTTTGTTGAGTCCTTTGTCTACATACGATTCTTCTGTCACATCGATCACTTGAACATTAATATCCATATCTTTTTTACTTTGTGTATCCATTTCTACAACTAACTGACTCTCTAATTCAGTTTCTATATTTTGTACATCTCTCTTGGAAGAAACCGTTTCTTCGCTATTCCTATGTAATCGTATTCTTTCCGTTAGTGCCTTTATTTCAGCTGCAAACGTTCTGATAGGTTCAGGATTTTGAACGTTTATTAACTTTCTTTTTGTTTGCGGGTAAAGTAAAGGAGAATTAGATTTAGCTATGCGTTTCTTCCGAACTGAGCTAGATTTCTTTGGAGTATTTTCCATTCTAGCATTAGCCTTATGGCGACGAGCCCTTGTTAACGGACTATCTGGACCCCATGCTACATCAACAGCATCTTGGGTAAGCGGCAGAAATATTGGACTATAACTTTCAAGTTTAGGAGAGTCGCCTAAATTATTGGACATCAAGTGATCACCGTTTCTTCTAGGGGTACTGTGTCCAGATGCTTTAACATCCGAGGTATATGAAGTCGAACCTGTAGCACTCTCCGTAACAGGAATTCCTGTCTCCATCATGTCTACAACATTAGATAGAATCAATATTTTTCCAACAAGTATCATTTATTAAATTTAACGTACTAAGTGTACGTAGAATTTAAATGCTTAATTCAAGTCATACGCAAATTACAATTAAGCTAAAATCAGTTCGATATGAAGCATACAGAATCCCTCATTGTTATCCTTTTTTTACTCATAAAAATCATTTTATCAACGCGAAACAAGCAGAGTGGATATTTTCCCATGATTAGTTAGAGGGTAGAAAAATAGATATACTAGCTCTAGGGTTAAATGACAACTTGATGTTTTGAACTTAACCTATATTCTGAACTTAATCACTTCTAATCGAGAGCATCAGATAAATCGAAAAAATGATGCACACCTTCTGACACCAGTGGAACAGATTTTGCCGGATTCGGAATCGAATATATGGAGCCCTTACTTCGACTCATATTTAGTGATTTAGACTTTTCCTTGTTTAACCGTGCTACTTTTCACTACTGATCCATTTTGAATGAGCTGGAACGAACGGCGTCCGACTTTATTCATGGACGTAAGAATATATGGACGAAACCCAAGCCAGAGGTGTGAGTGCCAGAATAAGTAAGGGGGAACACGTACGAACAATAGTAAAGTAGTGTAGAGTGGTTCTGAAATTACGCGCCGCTTTCTAGAGCCAATCCATGGACGTAAGTATTCTTAGCCAATCAGCCAGCTGAGCCAATCAGGAGGCTGAAAAATCGGAACCAATATACCCCTCCCTTTCCTACGCGTTGGCTTCCCCCCCTGGTCTAAGATGGGACTTTGGGCTTCGTCCATATATTCGAGATGAATTTACTACCGATGTTTAGTTTACTCCAATTTCAAAGAAATTTATTAGCATTGCCGTTGCAGTATGGAAGGCAGTTTAGAGGTTACGCCGTAGAAGGTATGATAATTACATTATGTTGATATAACCTTAAAATATAATCTTAAAGTTCATCTAGTTTAGAGGTTATTTGTAGGCTAGTTGTAAATCGGCGATAGTTTATAAAAGGGATAAAAGTATATATCGAATTAGTCAAATTTAATATATTAGAAACATAACTTAGTTACAAGAGCTGCCGAATTAATGGGTATTTATTGGTCCATTTCAGCACCCTTCTTCGGTAAAAGTAAGAAAAAGAAAGGAGGCCCCGTGGGTGAAAAGAAAGAAATTCCTGTCGAGACAGATGTCTCAAAGTTATTAACGTTTGTTTGCGGAAGTAATATTTTAAAGGAAGGAAAGGATGTCGAGTTGAAACCGGACTCTGAATACCCTGACTGGTTGTGGACGATAAAAACGGGTCCGCTTCCACCACTTGAAGAAATGGATCCAGATAGTCTACAATATTGGAGGCGTGTGAGAAAATTGGCCATGGCACGTAATAATCAATTAGCAAAACTTAAGAAATTTTAATAAATATTTAATACAGCTTACTTGTTTTATGTATGCTATGATAACGTGAATTAATAATTATTTAGTAACAATGAATGGTACGACCCATTAAATTTGTAAAAAGATATAAAGATTGAAAGAATATATTCAAAGGGGCTAATCCTTCCAGAATATATTTTTATAACTTAAAATCTAAATAGCTAATACAACAGTTTCAAACTCGTGAGATAACGATTGATGCAAGTTAGTAATCTGTATTAAACCAAAACGACAGAGGAAGTAAGGCAGCGTATTCTTTTAAGTCCACATCTATTTCATTCGATGCGAGGCTGCAAGGAGTTTGTCGTAAGCCATTGACTGTTTGTGAGTATTGGTGGGAACACTCTACTTCATCTGTTTTTATTTTAACTACTTTTTGAGGCAATGAGTTTAATGCTTTCTTGTAATCTGAATAACGGTAACGTGGTTTCTGCCCTGCTTTGATGGTTTTTTCCATATTACTCTTATTTGAGTGATTGCGTAATACAGTGCTTTTCTTTGATTTTTCCTTTGGGTTTAATTGTCGATGTGACTTAGTAATATTTAATTGGATCGTTGGATCAGTCTGTGCATGACTTTTTCTTGAATCACTCGGAGTTAATTTCTTAGGCGTGCTTTTACGATTGGGTTTCTTTTTGCGACCTTTGCTTCGTTTTGTAGCAGAACTTATAGTTGGATCCTTATTTTTAGATGAAGGCTTCTGCTTCATTTTGTTCTTTTCTTTATTTCCTGCGGCATCGGCCTTACCTAATTCTGACATTATACATTCCTGCTCTTTTTTCTTCAAATCTGAGAATCTGAGAATCTTTGATACATTACATGCTTTGTAAGCAGGCGATGATGTATCGATTGAATTGTCATGTGTCTTGGACTTGTATGGTAAATTCACATATTGATAATTATCTGATTCCTTTTTTTTACCATAGTATTTCAAATTATCTTGGCTCATTGTATTTATTTCTGGATATTGTGATTGGACCAATTGTACATTTGGTGAAAGGTTCGAAGAATAAGTTCCAAACCGTCGAAACATTGAGTCGTTAGTATCATAATGGCTTTGATAGGTTTTTGAAGAATCGATAATGTCAACAGACGGTTCTACCTCAGAATCTGCAAAGTCTTTATAGCGAATATTTCGAGATCCTTCATGCCGATCATTGCTGGTCTTTGGCAAATGATACCAGTTTTCATTTCGTCGCAGTGGTTGCTTGTAAGTCCAGACTTGTACATTGGAAATCTTGAGGGAAAAAAATCATTCGTGATCATTTAAGAAACACGTTGTAATTGAATTTCATTTGGGGGTATAATTTATACCTAACCTAATCAAATTATTGGTAGCAAGTAACCGATTAAAAAACTTACCACGAGTAGAAACCATACAAGAGTAGGGTAATTGCAAAGAAACATTATTTCCTTCTGTGAAACCTTTCCCAGTGAACAATTCTTTATAAGTGCCATTCGACTGGTTCGAAGGCAAGAGTGCTGATTTTAGGATCCATTAACAGGAATTGCTAATAGGGGGCTAATGATTTCTTCGGAACGCTTGCAATCATAGTTGGGACTTAATCAGCTTCGATCTGCTCCAGATTTATCAACATGACGCTTTAATTATTCTTTAATTAATGTATGTCATATAATAGTGAACGATTTTTTGGTAAATTGTTTAAAATCATTGAATAGATGCACCACTTACACCGTGCAGTTTACATTTCACTAATAAAACACAAGGAACAGCATAAATAATAATGCGGAGCAACAGATTGACTGTTTATTAATATTTATAAACTGTATATTCTTTTACAGTGTCCATAAATTATTTTATGCTCTATCGAGTCAGGTTTTAGATTCAATCGCATGAATGTCTGAATGATAGGCTTTCGAACCTTTCCCACCTGTATTGGATATTCTGGTATTACTAGATTTTTCCTGTATCTTCTTTTCCAGTTTGAATTGGCTTGGTTTCTTGAAGCATCGTTCCCTCGCTGACTTTTTTAAATAATACTCCTTATTCACTGATTTCTTTGGCATCGCATGCTTTACATTCTTCGTTGCTTTTGCATAATTGCTCTTATGACTCGGCGTACCTGAACTTGTGCCGGAGGGTCTTATTGTACTTAGAGAAGATCTTCTTCTGCGGAACCAAGGTCTGATATGGAAGAAAAATTTGTTCTAATTTAAAATATACTTCTTTACTAAAATATACTACTAAAATATACTTAGGTCAAATTAGTATGAATTTAAAGCGTTACCAGGGTACGTACCGATTTTGAAAAATCTCTTCAGGCTTGTCTTTGATATCATCGATATATTCATTAGTTTTAGAAGATCCTCTGATATCGTGCAAATTATTTGTTACGTCTCCATTCTCCCAATTAACATCGGCTTTCCTTTGGACAGGGTGGACACGTTTCACTCGATGCCATTTAACTGGAGTGTTTATGTTTGTTACCTTAAAAAATAAAAATTAGGAAAACATAACGCATAATGGTGAGCTGTTATATTTTTACTTTCAAATTATTAAGTACTCACCGAAGTGACGAAGCCAATATATAACATTAACAGGGTAACGCAGTTCATTTTGCAGCCACTCTTTACACCTAATGTCGCGAGAATTTTTCACTCCACTTCTTTATAGTTTTCATTGCTAAGGGGAGAAAAATATTGTTAAACAGATTAACAACGAACAATGGAGTGCGTATACAAATTTGTTTACCTTTGGAGCGGAAACAATGATGGAAACTTAAGTTGGTGTAATTTTGAAATACTCAGCTGATTAAGTGCCTGCGTAACATGATTTCTAAACTCAGATTATGTGAATTAAGCGGTACAAGAGTTTTTCTACTATATTTTGCAGAACGTGTTAATTGTTTTATCTAGTTGGAGAATTGGCTCTTCGTAGTAACGTGAAGTATTTCATTGCGATGCCTTTATTCCTGGGTTTTAATATTACTGCGATGAGATTATTCGAAGCAGCTGATCTGTGGCTTTATCTACAAATTACTAAAACCATTATAATTACTACAGTATGAATAGTTCTAGTATACATATATTATTTCTGTGTAATTACCATCAAGAGAAGTAATACTATGATGAAAACACGATTTGCCATGCTGCAGAATTGGAATTAAATTCTGTAGAATGGTAATTTACACCGTTAAAGACTTTGAATGAATGAAGACTTGTGTACGAGCAAAAGTGGCTCCGATAGAAGTGCTAATTTCACTTTACTACTTTCCCAGGTAAGCATTATCATTAATGGATCGTAAAATTGTGCTTGATAATGTTAATTAACATTCCTCGAGATGGTAAGTGCTGCCTTGTAAACGATTAAGCCTTGTCTAGAATGCCACGTAAGATCGAAGCACTTTTTTAGGCACCAGAGAAGATTAATTTAATTAACTATAACTTCAATTAAATTTTAATCCAACAGAAATAAGATTAGATGGATGCTAATTGAAATTGAAATCTCTTTAAAAGCATCCGATAACAGAGGAGGTCCAATTTGATACGTAGAAGAATAAAAAACACTATATTAATTAAATATTGAAAAATATATTTCTCAATACGATTGTCAATACATTGTCCGCCGTATAAAAACTCCCATAATTGATTCACAGTGATGGATATATATATATTTAAAAAACTGTGAAAATATTGGAAGTTTGAACGAACCGAACACTGAAAGATCTTTGCCACATTTTTCACTTAAAGGGGCAAAAAAAGTACGAAGATTATTCGGCTGGGTGTGTTCTTTGCATCAGACTTTCAACTAAGTGTTCAACATGCTGCAAACATGAAAATATCTTATACTTTCGTTCATAATTAACTAAATGAAAATATAAGTTTGTACTAACATTAGTTGAATCTCGTCGTTTCGCCTGCAACTAATTGCATGCTGTTTAAAATTTCTGTAAACGCTAAACCAAGGCATCGAGCCACTTGAAACACGCAGGATAATTAATTAGCTGCTGTCAGCTAAACAATGTAAACATAATAATTATCTCCTAAATGATTCCTTCTCCTTATAAGTTAGTCGTTTGTACAAAAGTACATTAGCATCTACGTTATCACAAATTTTTCGCAGTACGAGGAAGAATATGTTTTCACGCGCATTCATCTAATTCGTAGGTTCAACATTGTTACGTTAATGTCCCGAAGTGACAGGGTGCTTAGGATATTCAGCTAAGTAGAGGATGTATATTATAGGCCCTGCAAAGCCTAAGAGTAAGGAAACTCCCAAAAGCTGAGCCCAGGATAATCCCCAATCTGCTCCGGAACACTTAAACGTATCCACAATTCGAGACTGTCCCGTAGTAGTAGAATGATCTCTCTCGAGTAACCGGTCGTTCTCCGTTTCTTCAGCCATTTCTAAAGAGCCATTTGTAAATAACGACAAAGGCTCGCACGTGGAGTTTAAAATAATGTCATTAATGTCATTAATGTTGTTAAATCCCATTCGCGATGTCGACGGTGTTGCAGGAGAAGCTAACAAGTTTATAATTTGTTCTTCCCTTTGTTCACTCGTTCGGTTGTCTTCGTCATCCTTCACGACTTTATTCTCTGTTGTATTTGGATTCTGACTTAACGTCTCTGTCAGAATTGAGAAAGGTTGAACAGGAACTTTAATCAAACGATGGGCATATATCTCATTTTCCTTGTGAATCTTATTAATCCTTTTTAATTCAGATATCTGCGTGGACAGAAATCAGTGCCAAGTTAACTTGTCAAGCCATTCAAAGTCAAGTTCAAGTTTCTTTCTTACCGTGCATCTGTATCTCAGAGCTAAAGCTTGCAACGTGTCATTGGGATTAATGACAACGTTAATAACTTCCACCTTCCTTGGAGAGGACCGAACTGCCATACGTGGCTGAAGCGGGATTTCATCTCCACTGCCTTCGTCTTCCGAGTATAAGAGCACGTAATGTGGAGAGCCTTCCCGTTGTCCATTCCGCTGGTGCACGATCTGTCTGGAAGCGTTGGATTTATCTTGGAACGATTGACAATGTACAGGATAAGGGATTAAAGGACAGAATCGACTCCTCTTCACAGTACTTGAAGAAATTTACCTCGTCACCTTCTGGAGATCATTTGGACCGCTGAATGATTTCTTTCGCATCTTACTGGTCTACGATGAGAGAGTTTCATAAATCTGAAGAATAATCAGCAACTGTCATCGAAGAAATTGGACCCCTTCCTCTTAATCCCTAAAAATCTGCAACGTCAAACGATAAACAGAGGCGACACGGGGAGACATCTTGACAAATTTTATCACAGATTGTTTAAATTTCGCATCTTGTTACGCAGTCCGAAAAAACTGCAACGATAAAAGAAAAGCCACTATTGCATACGTACACTTGCACTGATTTGCACTGATTTGCACACTGACTGACAAATTGCATACCTGAGAGATGAGAATAGCCACGGTTCGTATTATTGCGCGATGCTGCCCTCTTGGTTGTGAATCAAAAAACTCGGTAGTGTTTCGAGACAATTACATTTTAAAGATGGTTGGGAGATTGCTCACAGGCAAGGTCACGTGATTCCGTCCTGTGCTGCCCTGTCGCACCCTGGTAGTCGGTGCGGGCGGCTAACGTACATATTTGCCACCCTCAGTGGCGGCGCAATGTCTAAACAGAGATATCTCTGGTCTAAAACAGGTGGCAAGTGCATTAGCCGACCGCTTCCTCCACCAGGGGACAGCACAAGACCGATCGCGCGACCCTACCCGTAAGCAATCTCCCAACTCATCTCTATGTATGCTAGAATATGTTTTTACGTTCATGACTAAAGGCGGCATAAGACATTTTCTGCTATTGCATTGAAATATTTTTATGATGAACTGTTAATATTGTAGCACATACCGGCAACTTAAGATAATCTCAAAAGGTTTCAATGTGGTTCAATGCTAATGTCATTTGTTTACAATAAGAGTTGTCATTAAACGAATACGAAGCCTTCCAGAATAAGAGCTAATCGAAATTCATATTCGAGAATACAGTCGAAGGTTATAAACAAAAACCGCAATGAGCATTTCAGCTAAATTCGGTATTATCAGAACGTCAAATTTTCGTAGCATATCGGTAAGCAAAAATGGTCTAGTTTTTAAATCTATTCATTTACTATCAGTACAGTATGCTCGAGTGAATACACTTGTATCGGTTGGTAGAATTACGGAGGTAACGTGTGTTCTTTTCTTTACGTTCACTTGGCTTTTCTTCATTTGACTCTTTGGCACTTAGAGCACGTATTAAAAATATTCTCTTAAACAGCCAAATGATAGCAACATCGGGAGGATGAATAAAACGAAAGTGTTGCAGCTTCTATCACGGGTATGGAGTGGACCGAATGGAGCCGTGGGAGGTAAACAAGCGGAACAGAAAATGTTGGAGATCTTGAGGAACAAATTTCCAAACGCACAAGTAATCGAGGTCACCGATGTATCCGGTACATATACATTTTAATACATCTTTAAATAAACATAACTGTACCGTTTGAGTTCTAATTAATTTTTTATTCTAGGGGGCTGTGGAGCAATGTTCGAGGTGAACGTTACTGCTCCAGAATTCCAAGGTCTGAGTACCATTAAACAACATCGAATTATTAATGAGGTAACGTTGTGATAAATATATTTCTTTGAATATAATATCAACTTACTATTAATTTCTGTTACAGGCACTAAAAAATGAAATAAAAGACATGCATGGAATACGTATACATACGAGTATACCTGAATAAAGGGAAAATGAATTTTAATATAATACCTATGTACTAATTTTGTTAGTGTTAATATAAAATATTTATACAAAGTTGTTATATTTCCCCACCTCTGAGCATTTCTAACGTGCACAACAAATTCTATTATATTTCAAGGTGATTTTAATGAGTCAAAATTGTTTTCTTTATTTTTAGATGTTCGTCCAAGACGCACGATGATGTTGATTGTTTTGAATGATCATCGAATGACCTGGTGCATTGTCAACGTCGAATGAATTAATAAGCTCACGGAATTAAGATATTATTTATCTGATCGCTGCATCAAACGTTCTTGCAAAGGACTCGATATCTTTCACGGACACACAATTGTATTGTACGCGAAATTCCACTAGATCTGATAATGATAATTGTTTTCTTATTCAACACATCTTTCTGTTAAATTAGAACATTCGCAAAATGTATAGCAATAATAATTCTGTTAGGGAATACTTAAATATTATAAAATGTCAAATGTAGAGGAAAATTCCGAGTAACCCGTTTTAATATGTTTATTATTTCCCAATGCCTCGTTTCCAAAAATATATGGAATAATAGCTGCACTGAACACCTGCCGTTTGGGTAATTAAACTGACTAAATTGTCATTGATGGAATGTGTCAGCGCCTCGAAAATTATTCCACCTCATTTTGGTAATGAAATTAGGATGAAGCGCGTTAATTACCCATTAACTTGGAAATTATGATCATCAAACACATCTGGACGAAATAATTCGCTGTCCAGGACCGCTATTACGGAGGGCAGATGTGGTAAATACTTTCCATCTGTATTTACAATTAGACAGCCTCGTCGGAAGCCGTTTTCACGTACAATTTTGCAACACGTCTCTTTGCCCATTATTATTCTTATAAAATTTTTTCAGCTTCACTATTTTCCCTCCAAGATTAAATTTCATCCCGCTCCGCGACAGCCCAGAAAGTAAAGCGTGATCTTGGTGCAAGACTCATCTCAGCTTCAAAGCCCAACGAGTGAATGAATAGCTCATCAACCATCATCATTACTTATCAATAACCATTATTGAGGATATTTTCAAGCATAATCGGCGATACCATTTGTGATGGGGAAAAAGCAAGTCTCACTCCCAGGATATCAAAACCACTGGCACGGTCTTCGGGTACTGGAAACATAGAGGCCATTTAACAATTGCCATTGATAAACGTCAAGGAAAATGTGTGCAAATATTATCCGGGCCTTCCGAAAGAATGACTGGATCGAAAATTGATCAATGAACCGAATATCACGACTACATTGCGCGTGTTCGCAGGTAGAGAGTCAACAAAGCTCGCACGAGAAACGTTTACGAGAACCGACCTTTTTAGTATTGACAAAACCATCTCTCCGCACATGAAGCGTAAAGTCCCACTCGGTCGTCATCTCGCCAACATGCGATGATGTAAGTTCTAAGATAAATTCGATAATGTGATAAGTCAACCGAGGTCTTATCAAGATGGACATTTATATAAAAGTAAGTCCTCGGAAAGTCAAAGGCACTCTTTAAGGTTCCTCCAGGAGTATCGGCGTCCTAGCTGAGGGTAGGAGGGGTCCATTAGAATAAATCAATTAACCTGCCCGATAGTTTAGGTCTTAATTACCAAATTTCGATTTTTAGTCGGAAATCAAGATGAAGTATTCGAGGGGGTGTACCCTTCTCCTCCTGGTGACTGTCGGCCTTGTCGAAGTCTATGGTCATGGGATGTTGATGAATCCCGTAAACAGAGGCAGTGCATGGAGATTAGGCTTCGATACTCCCACCAACTGGAATGACAACGAAAATTACTGTGGTGGATTCTCGGTAAGACTTCGTTAAATGTGCCCATAATTATGAAAGTGGTCTAAGTCAAAATTAAAAAAAAAAATGAGTTTATCGGTTATTTCACGCCATATTATTTCAAACGAAATTAATTCAATGTGATTTCGAAACAAAAAATATATGACTTAGACCACTTTCATAATTATGGGCACAAATGACGACACATTAATATCAACGCCTCTTCGTCGGATGCGTAAAATGAAATATTCCTTTAGTTTTTTTTTTTACCACGAAACGCGCGATAAACGGCCTCAAATTCACTTTAAGTCGGACTAAGAACACTCCGTATTCGTTTTAAATCATAAACTTTTTCTCTGTTATTTGATATTAATTTTAATTGTCATTCATTGTTGCAGACCCAATGGGACACAAACGACGGAAAGTGCGGAGAGTGCGGAGATAGCTATTCGTTGAGACGACCCAGACCTAATGAGAACGGTGGAGTATATGGAACAGGCACAATTGTTGCACGGTAAGTAATCTCCATTTTGACAAAAGATAAAAAACCCATGACAGGAAATAGGCAATTTCATATCCCCGATACTAACGAGCACTCTTTGTTAGTCACGTCCTCATACTAGAAGGAACGTTAGTAATTCTATATGATATCAATAAATTGCAGGAAAAGGATAACGTCATTCCAGAATGCAAATTTTTTTAACCCGCTGAATGACCTAACCGTTAACGGATTCTTTGGATTAACGATAACGCGATTAAAATCCCGATAATGGACGATAATACGCTTTTTGTTTACTGGACCACTCAACTGTCGGTCGATTCTTTGAATTAACGATAATACGATTAAAATTCCCATTGCTGATCGTGCCAATAAAGATTACCAAGCTTGGCGAAGATCGTGAAAGTTGCCATAATTGTCGCGATAAAAATGATCTATTTCCCCCACCGCGAATTAATTTAATCGGAATTTTTCTTATAAATCTATAAACCCTACGTTAAATAACATCACTGTTGTGGATACTATAGCAATAATTATCACTTTGTCCCTAATCTCAACGCCATAGAAATGATTCATTATTCGCGGTCTGACCTGTACAGACCGATTAACTATATTCACCATGGGGAATATTTTTTCCTAGATTTACGTGGTACTATGTAGTATTACTAGAATAGCAGTGAATACTACTAATAACGCGTTTTAATTTTAATAGCTATCAGCCGGGTCAACATATTCCGGTATCCGTTAAGCTGAGCGCCTCCCACGCCGGATACTTCAAGTTCTCCCTGTGTCCTCTTCGCTCGGAAACCGACTTGGAGACCGAAGAGTGTTTCGAGAAACATCCCCTGAGATTGGTCGATGGATCGGAGGTCTACAAAGTGACGAGACATGGAGCGGGTTACCACAACACCACCCTGGTATTACCACCTGGACTTACGTGCAAGCACTGCGTCCTGAGATGGAATTACCGCACCGGAAATAGCTGGGGCATCTGCGAGGACGGGCATGGCGCCATGGGATGTGGACCACAGGAGACCTTCAGGACCTGCTCCGACATCTCGATAGCCTAAACCCAAAGAACGTTGATTAGACTCTAGAAATATTCGAACTCCTAGAGGTCTATAGCTGACCATCCATTCGGCGATCTTCCTATTGGAAGATCACGCCTTCCAACTCGTCGCATCTCACCGACACCGACTGCTGGATATATTTCGAATCTGTTTTCCTTTCTCTCTTTTAATAGATCTCTTTTACCTACCGGATTGTTACAATAAAGGTTATTTAACCGTTTGAGTACCAAAGGTTTTTATAAAAAAACACGGTCGAAGAAAGCCGAGCAGCGCAATAGCGCTTTCTGAATGGGATGCGAAAAGACCCAACCGACGCGATGGCGCTCCTTTTATTCGGCGTAGAAAAAGATTCGTCTGAAAATCCGTCTGGAAAATCGAGCGCGTTTCGTTAGATCGTGTGTGACTGGTCAATTGTCGTTCAAATGCACTGGGTTTTTTCGACGTGAAATCTGAAGGGCGCGAAAGCGGCGCGTGGGACTCAAACGGTTAAAATGAAAACCAACTGGAAGGGTCTCTGGTGGAGGTTTCTCGAACGAAAGGGAAGTCGCGGAGGGAACTCCGAGCCCTACCCTAGTACATACCTCTCAGGACCAGGGATAGAATCCAAGGCACGAGGGTGTTTAAAACCCCGAATCGCATTTCTAGACCCATCGACAATTGAAATCCATCCCCAAGGTCCTCTATATCTTCGTTTACCCGTAAAAGAAAAATGTTAAGGTGAAGTGAAATGCCTACGTTCCCGACGTTGGTCTTTATATCGACAGCTGTGTCGAATTATATTGGGTATTGTACCAAATGGCATACTCCACCTGTCGTTTTCGTACAATAATTATAAAGAAATCGAAGTAAAACTCCAGAAATCCTCTGGATCCATGCTTTCTGGAGCCCTAATTGACTGCAGAGGGACCCCCTGCGCCATCTGTGATTTCCACGTCAATTAAATCTTCACTCCGGACCTCGTATTACCATCGTTTTGGCATACAAGCGCATACAACACTTTTTTAGCCTTTATCCCGTTCAAATGCGAGTTCATCGATTACCAGAGTGTTCTAAATTGTCCTGACCCTTTCGATTCTCATATCCGAGTCTTCGATAATTATACATTGATCGAAATATTGCCTGACGCCATTTTGATTCCGTTCCGGGCTGAGTTAAAAAATTGAAAAAAAAAGAAAATCCAAATTTTTAATCCATCAGGACAATTCTTAGATGATCAGGAGTGATTTGTCAAAGTTTCGAACAGTTTGGTCTGATACCCTTTAAAAAAGTGCTGTATTCAAATCGACTGATTTGAAGGATGTTTCACTTCCCCTGGAAGGCCCCGAGCGCCCTGGCGCATGCGCGCCGCTCGGGCGGGATTCGTGTTCGGGTGGTCCGAGTCACCCGGTATGCCGAGCCCGTAGCAAGGTGAGCGTAGAGAAGAATTCCCTAAGCCTGCAGGAGAGGAGGAACGAAAGGCACCGTGGCAGAGGTAGAGGTCCCGCTCACCGCGGCACTTCACCTCAAGACGCCGTGAGGACGGGAGGTTGGACGGTGCGGGGAACCGCGCGGAACCGAACGTACCATATATCCCGGGTAAACGGTGCCTATATATATATACACATCCGCGAGTACGTATACACTCACCCGTGCCGGAAAAGTGAGGGGAGTGAACTCACCCCGAGTTAACGGGGAGGCGAGTTCGGACCGGTTCGGCTCGGCGGTGCGCGCGCAGCGTCTCCAGGCCCGCGCCTTATTTCGGGCGGCGCGGCCGACAGGAGAGGCCGCCAAGACACCGCGTCCCGTTTGCCGAGCGGCGGCGAGGCCCGGAGAAGCATGCGGTAGGATGCGGGCCCAGGGAAGATGGTTTCTACTCGCGGTGGCGGGACTCTGCGCCCTGAGAGGTGTCGCCTCCTTCGCCGCCGGGGACCCCGCGGGAAGGACCTCCGCCGCGACCGGTGAGTCGCCGATTGCGCGCCACGCCACCCCGCGCTATTTCCACGCCACGCCACGCCACGCAGCGGCGCGCTGGGATAAAGGAATCCCGATCTCTCCGCGCACCGAGAGGGAGAGAGGGAGAGAGAGAGACGCGCGGCCTGAAATTCCCGAGTCCCTCTTTTAACGCCGCGTCGACCTCGACGACCGATCCCTTGAATAGCCGTTTCGTTTCTTATTTTTCTTCTTTTTCTTTTTTTTTTTTTTTCTAACATCGAACTCACCGGGTGAGACCAGATCTCGCGAGGGGCTTATGACGTTCGTCAAATTTTAATGTCGACGTGGATAAAAGAAAATTGGTAAGGGATGACTTTTTTATTCCCGGAGGATGGATCTTATGGCTGTGTGAACCTGGAATCCAAGTTGAGGCACAAACTAAATTAACAGGCTTATTGGATGTTCTGTGATGTAGACGGCTGTGTCATGTTGAGTTTTGTTTGTGGCATTGTTTTTTTTTTTTTTGCAGTGACCGATAAGATAAACAAATTATGAAATCGTGGAAATTCGGATTTTTCGACTCTGATGGGTTCTCTGATGTTAAGGAAATTCAGAGCCTCCCAAAACCTCGAAAACGTTAAAATGGTCATTTTTGGATGTTTATTTATTTTGTAATAGCTCTGGTTTTTCTAAAAGAAAAAGATGGCACAAACATTTACACCATAGAAACGTTCCAATAAGCCTGTTAATTTTGCTTGTGCCTCAAACTGGATTCCAGGTTCACACAGCCGGATCGAAGTTTCAAATGATTCGGTGCATCTGTTTTTGTAAATATTTTGGCGTTTTGATATATATATAGATTGACCCTTTCATATCACCTTAATATCATCGATTCGAAGATTTCGATAAGGAGGACAATGGCTATTCGGTCTTGCTAGTCTTTCGTACAAAAATGGGGTCTTGGTTCTAGTCTAAGATAGATGAAATAAAATTATTCTGGAACAAAATGGAAATCTCGCGAACATCGTGTTCCCCCTTAGGGCCTTTATAACCACGTGGTGAAGCTTCAAATGATTAGGTGCATCCGTTTCTATAAACATTTTGGGGTTTTGATATATATAGATTGACCCTTTCATATCACCTTAATATCGTCGATAAGAAGGACAAAGTCTTGCTAGTCTTTCGTTCGAATTTCTCGTTGCAACCTGCCACAGTACGAGCAAATTACAAGTATCCTCTTTCGCTCTCTCCCTTTCTTTCTCTTGATCGTTCCTCTACATACGGACTGCGGGAAAACGTCTCAAATAACCCGCAATGGGTGCACCTGATTTCCTGTCGGAAGGGTCACCTCGTAAATCTAACCGAGCCTCACAGAGATGTAGATTCCCCTTAAACTCCGTCGAGTTTCATGAGCTGTAACTGAAATTGAACTTTCTACAATCGGTGCCTTTCGATTCGGCGACAGTAAGTGCCTTAAGTTACTGCCAAGTCGAAAGTTAGCGAAGGAATACGTAATGCGCGGTCTCGTTATTCCGGAGCATTACTTACGAGCTCGAAAGTAAATAGGCGCGACATTTTATGGGACCTATATAATTTCCCCACCCATAATTACCGAAAATATCTAAGAAGTTCATGTGTCATCCTGAAATTTGTTGCCGCTCACAGCGGATAAAAATCATTGTCAAATGATTTACTGCACATCTTTATAGAGGAGATTTCGAAATCTCGGAAGTAATTCCAATTCTTATCGTCTAAATCCATGAAAAGTGCGTAGAGTAGCGTATGTAACTCGTGCGATAGTTTCAATCCTATAAGTAGGTTCTAAACACACCAATTGCGAGCGTGTGGGAGGGATTTCTCGTGAGTGGAGAACTGGGACGAATCATTGTTTCGGGATATCTCGTGCGTCCTCGAGTTCCCGCGCTTTAATCGCCCTCGTTAATCCGCCCGATGGTCAGGAGGAAGGGAATTAATTTCAGGAGATCCGTCGTGAATTAGCTGCGAAGTATTACGAGGGAAACGCGCTCCGACTATCCTGTAAAATTTGGAAAGCTTCGATAAGCCAACAGTCCCCGAAATTCCGCTAAACATTTATATTGATGGGTTTTGGGTTGATGCATAAGTCATTGCGAGAAAAAATTTCTCTTCAAAATAACATATAACATTATGTTAATACATTTAATTTCTGCGCGCAATTTTATATTTGAAAAAAATGCGCAATTTTATATTTGAAAAAATGCGCAATTTTATATTTGAAAAAATGCGCAATGACTTATGCATCAACCCAATAAATCCTCTAACGATTCGACGCAGTCTCTCAAATATATTGTTCTTAAGATTTGTTAAATTACTTAATGACGTTAGGGTTCTCGAAGAGACCCTTTCGTTAATAGTTTCCTGCGCGAGGCGGCCAGGAGGGAGACAGGTGATCGGGGCAAACAGTCTAACGTGTAATACGTATGTTTAATCGATATTGCAAGGATGTCTTAAGTCAGGTCGACGGTATTCCTATTAAATTCGTTGCACATTCGTTGGCCATTTCCCTCGTAATTTGACTCCATCGAGAGAAGTTACCTCATTAACATCAGCAAGGCGAGAGCGTTCGCCTCGCCTCGTCTTGCAGCATCGCGACTCTCTCCCTCCAGCAACAATTACCAAAGCAGTTCTTATTCTAGCATCGGTACCGTGTAAAGCTCCTATAAAGAGTCTACTTACAATATACCACAGCCCATGCGCAAAGGGTTAACTAAATATAATAAATGATCTCCCATTATTGATCGGAAAGTGGTATAAACTCTGGGGAGGTTTGCAAAAGATAAGTAGGAATTTCCGCCTTGTCGTACGTAAAGATAGGGATGATTACGAGAGTAGAACTCGGGGTGGGATCGATATGGAGATAAAATCCCAAATTGATATAAGATAATCTTTCCTTCACCCCTTTCACCCTTTTCTTGCTATTCGGATGTTGCTTCGTATATTATACCAACGAGGTGACATATCGTCATTGTCATCGGGCTTTTTCGGATCCTTATCGAATCCTTATATTATAACTCTCACCGGTAGTAGTCGCCGTCGCCGCTAGGCGGTGGTGCAATCGGGAATTACCGATGAAACGAAACCGGGTTACCCCCTGTCCGTCCTTCGGCGTACATACTTGGAAAAGAAACGGGCCTACCTACATCCTGCCGAGCGAGCGAAGTTACGCGGATCTCTACGAGAGAACGAGGTCCACCGATCGGGAATACCATTTCTCGCCAGTTTTATTGCCGACCTAGGAGGTAACGTCGCGCCTCCGCGGCGCCATTTTCGAAAATCCCCGCGAGAGAAATATCCTTTATGTACAATGTGTACGCTGCAGGACTTGTATAATTAAATCCGGCATGTATTCTCCACCCTGAGACGCGTTTCGGATTAAAGGGTAGATATTAGGTAGAGTTTCCGATTTCGTTTCCTACGCTATCATACGTCCATGCCTTTGTAACGCGTAGATAGAAACGCGTGATGTGTATTAGAAAGAAACTTCCTTTTTTTTTCCTTTCTCGCCGTTTTTAACACCACCCTGAGGAGTATCTACACCGAAGTACAACTCATCAAGGAGGTCGAATTACCGATGTAACGGTCTTAAATATAAATTCGATAACTAATCGGCATAATGCCTCGGAGCGAGCCACGTAAAAAGTGTCTTCGCGGTCCCCTTAGAGAATTAAATTATTGGCTATTATCGTAACAAAATGGCGACGCGCTTATCCAGCTCGTCGTTTTGGAATACAAATCTGCGACCTTAAGTGATAATTCACAGTTTTAACGGCGACTAGATTGAAATTCGATCTACACCCTGGCAAAAGAAAGGATTAATCGAAGCAATTATCTCTTTGAATGGTCCCACGGAAATATATTCTGAATCCATGGATGAATTCCAATGAAGAAACGTCGCGTTAGATTCAGTCGATTTCACCCGAGTCGGGATTTAAATTGCTTCCTTTACCAGCGCAGTTATCGTTATCGTTATTTCAAATTCTTGAAGAAAGAGAATAATTTCAAATTATTGTAAGGCTCGTTCGTTGGTGCACCCTTAGCGAAGTCTGCCATTTGAATCTCAAGTACAGTGGCGGATATGAATGCCTCCCCTGCAGATGCGGCATTGCCTGTGCAGGATGGGAGGGCATTGATGTCTCCCAGTGTACGACTTGCAGCGTGCACGGTGAAGCGTTGAGCTGGCCCGAAGTCAGGTATCGTTAACCGGCGAATCTCCCGAGTTGTTACGGATACGCACACCGGCCTTGCTTCGGAACGAGCGCTGATTTGACTTAAGTGCGCGTAACCGAACGGTTACATGTATACGCTGTACAGAGGAGATTGAACCCCGCAACCGGCGTACATATCTCGCCAGGAGATTCTCTTCTTCGCGAGCTAGGAATTCCCGCATGCGCGAGAGAGGTTAAGGCTCCCGATGACGCCACCAACGCGGAACCTTTAGGAGAACTGGCTTTTTTCCCACGCTTTACCGCCCATCATCGGCGCTAAAACAAAAAAGATAAACAACTTACGCGCTATCCGGTGCGTCCATAGACCACGGATATTACAGATACCCAGCATTAATATCGAGAATAATTCCAGAGAAAAGAGAAGGAAACGGTGCCGCGTACCTGAATCGGGATCCCGAGTATCTGGAGAACATGTTAACTTTATGGGAAGGTTGTCTTCTTGAAATGCAGAAAGAAAAAAACATCTTCGGGGATGGATGCTCCAAATGGGTGATTTGTCCCCGTTTATTATATTTCTTCTTCCTCGCCGTGCTCCCTGCAACAGAAAAGAGAACGGTCACTGGAACGGCACGCCGCCATATTGGAATCTTCGTGTGTACAAATACGAGCTCGCGTTTAGGTATTAATAATAAACGGGCAGCCTCTAGGGCGGGATCTTCTTCTTTCTGGGGTAACAATGGGGCTTTTGCGGGGTTTTCGATCCTTGGAAAGGGCGTATACACCCTTTGTTAGAAGGATTGGAGAAAGAGATGTGGTGGAGGTCGAGGAACTCGGCCCTTCCGAGAGCGACGCGGCGGACGTTCCACTCGATTGCGATCTCGAGATGGCCGACTCGAGGCCGCACATAACCCGGATATTTCTCCGATCCCGTTCACGTGCTCCCAAATGGAGGTGAAATCGCAATTCGAGGGACCCTGGGGAAGAACTTTCACCGCGAGTCTCGCCACCTCCTAGGTCACGAAGGACCGGCCGGATGACGCGGAGATTTCGGGGAAGACGACCCACGTCGTCCTCTCGATGATAAGCGACCCTGCACCTTGATATCGTCGTGGAAACGGCTGAGCTAAAAGAAAAGAAACTTATTGTCATTCCGCTTTCCATTGTTTCTACTTCGGGATTAATTGACGACACCCGATCGCTGTGTTAAAGGTATCATTACACCTTTATCGATTCTCGATTCTTGGGAGAAGATTTCCGAGGAAAGTCGTCTTTAATGTCGTATCACCAGTGGAAAAGAAAATGCTCATTGTACCGGAAAAGTACTTCTTTGAATACTACCAGGGAGATATTTCGTTAATGCAAATAATAGATATTTACCTTAAATAAAATCGAGGGAACTCAGTGCGATGTCTCTTTGGCCAAGTAATTGTTCTCAGAACTGGAATTAGATTTCTTTGCTGCTGTTCAATGTATTTTTTTCCTTTTCTCTGCCAGTGTAGGTTGATAGGTTCCTTCAATAATTTCATAAAGTTCGACGATAGGTCTGAAAGAAAAATCGGAAGTCGATAGTGAAAGCACCGAGTCGTTCTTCGGGGATACGTAGAACGTGACGCGAGTACCGTGGCCAATTGTACATCGTAATTATTCGTCAGCCCGATACGTTTCCCCTGAAACGGAAGCCTGATTTCCTCTACGTCGGAGACCTCGAAAAGTATCATTAAAATTTCTATACATTTCCGGAATGGATTTCAAAGTCAGCCGGTAATGACTCTTCCGTATGTCTGACCACTTTCACCCTGTTCTCCTGAGCAGAACTACTAAGAAAGCTTTACTACCTCGGAGCCATTTTTCTGTAGGGAAAAAAAAAGAAAAGAAAATAAGAAACCCTAGGAAGTGTACCACCGTCCCAGTGTATAGCATTGGAACGAATTGCCGCAAAAATGCCGCTCTCAAATGAGGCTTATCTATCCGCTATCAAACGGCGACATTAAAGGACAATGGACCGTTTAATTAACATGGACAGACCCGAGTTTCACTTTTACGTTAACCCTCTGCACCAGAACGTCGCGTTCAATTTTCCTGACCAAGATGAAAAGTCCATGTCCCTGTCTAAAAGTGCCATTTCATACTTTCATTTGTGCCCATAATTATGAAAGTGGTCTAAGTCATATATTTTTTGTTTCGAAATTACATTGAATTAATTTCGTTTGAAATAATATGGCGTGAAATAACTGATAAACTCATTTTTTTTTTTTTAATTTTGACTTAGACCACTTTCATAATTACGGGCACATTTAATTTACCAAGGTACAGAATTTCTTCCTAGAGGAATTCTCATTTTTTATCCACAGGCAAGATCAATGCTCAGATTTGGAACTAGAGGCCATTTTTGGTACACACTTCTTGTAGGAATGATTTCAGGGTCCTTCTGTGAGAAATATATAATGTAGGCGTTACAAAATATATTAACAATAGGTTCATTAAGCGCGATACTGCCATCGGATGTTTTACCGTTTCATGGTTCCGATATTCGGTATGACTCTCTTGGGAACATCGCGTCATCTTGACTTTTTGCATCTCGACGACTCATTTCGAGTATAAGGAAACTAAGAGACCGTTAGATCCCCGGAAACCGACCAGTCTGGTTTTCTCCCGATTTCGTAGCGACTCACCTCACGAAAGGCGAAGGAATTCGCACAGACTACGGTAACGCGAAGCATCGACGGCATTTAATGATCGGGGTTTCCTTTCGACGGGAAATCATGCAAGTAACGCCTATTCCACCGCTTAGCGGTACTCGAGATCCGCCATCTTGGAAAAGNACCTCACGAAAGGCGAAGGAATTCGCACAGACTACGGTAACGCGAAGCATCGACGGCATTTAATGATCGGGGTTTCCTTTCGACGGGAAATCATGCAAGTAACGCCTATTCCACCGCTTAGCGGTACTCGAGATCCGCCATCTTGGAAAAGTTGAAATTTCGAAACGGAAAGGAGAAACGTAACGATAAGTAACGCAGGGCCGTTTCCTCTAATGAGATTCATGTCCCATTTCTTCATTTATTAATAAACGGTCCGTGGAATTCCGATACCATTTAAAGTTTGCGGCCAACCGAACCGCAAGGCGGAATAATGCAACCGGTAAATCACATCTCTAACAAAGACCGTAATTCCTTCCCTACTTGAGAAACTGCGGAGATCCTTACTAAATTACTGAGCAGAAAAGGTAGCCATTTTGCTCTCAATTTTTTTAAATTCGTCATTTTCACCAGTACCGATGCAGGCGGTATTCGTAAAGGGAATTCCTGGGAATCGATCTCGCTGTACTTTCGGAAATGGCACTGTTGCTTTCGACGATCTAGTCCTTTTTGTGGAGGTCCGTCGAGTTTGTAAATCGTCCAGGAAATAGCCTCAAGGTCCCTTGGTCCTCCGTTCCTCCGGCCCCATACCTGAGACGAGAATATAATGTCAAGGCCCATGCAAATTTAACATTCGCAATTTACATCATCATTCCAAACCTGTATAATTTGTACGGGAAGATCGCGCTATCCAGGCAGAGCAGTGCGTTATATTAAAATATTCCCGATATATGTATTAAAATTGACGGTACGCCATCTTGAACGGTGCGACGCGCCGAAGCGTCGCCGGAGGCTTCGAATCATCCGAAGTCACCTCGACTCGATTCCCGTTCCATCGTCGCGTCCACATTTACGAGACGAGAACGAGATCGCCCGAAGGTTTCGTCCCGGATTCTTTCCTCTTGGTCCAGGTAACGTAACTCCTCTCCTCGCTCCGAAATTCCACCGGTTATTCCTACCCTTGACCTCGATCCCGGCATTACGAACGGGAATACCCGGATAGCCGACGAGCGATGATTATTCGGGATACTCGACCGCATAATTATCCCTCGTCGTGGCGACGAGGGACAATTGAAATGCCCATTGGCCTTCGATCACTCCGAGTACCTTATGCGGAGTACCTTTTCTAAATTTTTCGCTAGGAACCTGGAATTTTTGAATCCTGTACGCCGAGCTCGAGGACTCCTCGATGTACGAGCATGAACCATGAACCAATTAAGGTGAAGTGAAACCCCCCTAAAATCAGTCGACTCGAATAAGACACTTTTTCTTAAGGGCATTGGTATATTAGTATACCTGTCCGAAACTTTTACACGTGACTCATGAGCACCTAGGAATTACCCCGAGTCCTTCAAAATTAGGACTTTTTAAAGAATCTTTTTAACTCAGCCCAGACCAGAACCAAAGTGACGAGCTTTCATATTTTTCGATCGATATCCAATTACTGCAACCTCTATGAGAAAGGAAAGTGCCATGCCAATTGTCACGACAATTTAGAACACTCTGGCAATCGAGAAACTCGCATTTGAACGGGGTAAAGGCAAAGAAAAGTGTCTTTTCCGCTGGTATGCTAAAACGACGGTAATGCGAGGTCCCGGAGTGAAAATTTAGTTGACGCGAAAGTCACAGATGGCGCCGGGGGTCCCTCTGTGGTGAATTAGGGCCTCAGGAACCACGAGTCCAGGGGATTTCTGGATTTTCATTTGGATTTATTTATAATTATTGCACGAAAACGACAGGTGGAGTATGTGATTTAGTACCGATACCCAATTTAACTCGACACGGCTGTCAATATAAAAAATAACGTCGACGACGTGGGTAGTTAGAATCTTTTTTACCGACGTCGATCAAGTACCTGTTTCACTTCACCTTAATTCGTGAAGGCGGTAAATAGGAGAACCACCTGTACACCCAACACTGCACTAGAGCCACGTCCTCTCCATTTCTATAAGGCACACCAGTAGTCTCGTGGCACGATTCTACTTACGTTAATGGGAAGGAGGTTTGCAAATCCCGGAAGGAATTCCCCCCGAGAGGCCACCTGAATTCCGTAAGGGAACCGCTGGAAAATAAACGTCGGCCTTCACGTGCGGATTCCGCAGTAACTCGATCTTCCGTTCCGTAAGGAAAGAGAGGACGAGCCGTAATGGCGATAAGCCCACCGAATCGCTTCTGGAGCGACACGCGTCTCTTGCAATCTGCCGCATACTTGTCAAACTGTTTACGGTTAATGGCCACGATGGAATGCCTCGCTTTGATTACGCGAGATACTTACGTTACGGTTAGCGACTGCCGACACTCTTGGTAAAGAAACAAAGGAAGCCAGCCTAACCGAACGAATCCCCGACTTCCTCTATACCAACGAGTTTCTCGCTCGGATGTATTTGCCGCGAAACTCTACCGAGTTTCTTGATAGAATCGACGACGTTCGCCGGGAGAATTTATTTAAAAAAATCCCCTCTCGAGATTATTGCAATATTTACTAGAGATGATCAAGAAATATCTGCACTTTGCATAGGCGAGATACGCCACTTTTATTTATTAATTATCGCGCAGGTAAATTGAAAGTAGGAAAGGAAATGAATTGTTTTTCTTCTTTTTTTTTTCTACGCATTCGTGATCTAACGATGTTGGAGTCGTTGAACAAAGTCAGTTTTGTTCGTGAAATTCGAGCGATAACACGTGTCTCGTTTAATCAGCCGTTCTTAACGCGTATTGTCGTGAAAAACTGCCGCCTCTTGTCTTCTGGTGATTTGTTGTTAAATCGACGTTAAAACGCCATTAATCGTTAAGAACTTTAGGACGTGTGAAGATTAACAACAATCGGCACGTGGTGGAATCAATCGCTCGATAACACAGCCTCCTTTATTCACCCCGAACCGAGATCTCAAGTGACATTAGCATCGTGACAATAAGCCGAGACTCTCTTTGACGTCAATTGTATTGTTAAACGTCAGAGAAACGGCATTATCGGCATGAAAATTCCCGCAGAAGGACGGAGTTAACACGAAATCGTGAAAAAATCTCCCGCCCGACAAACTAAGAGACTCCGAAGAATATTTCGCCAGACGCATATTGCATTGTACACTGGGAGACATCAATGCCCTCCCATCCTGCACAGGCGATGTCGTACCTGCAGGGCAGGCATTCATGTCCACAATGTACACTGGGAGACATCAATGCCCTCCCATCCTGCACAGGCGATGTCGTCTCTGCAGGGGAGGCATTCATCTCCGCCATTGTACCCCAGGACTAACAATGACCAAATGAATGTTTAAGCTCTTTATTTTTCTGCAAGGAATAATCCTCTGGATCCAAAGACACCATCCTTGGGATGAATATCTGCATGAAGGGGAATTTTTTGGGGGTTAACTAATATTCGACTTCCAGTAAATAGCGAAATCGTTAAAGATCGCAGCCGATTAATCGAACGCGGTTTCAGGAGGCGCGTTAAGCTGTGAAACCTCATACAATGGAGTGTTTGTTCAGCCGCAGGTATTTCTCCATCGATAACAACTTATCGGCGTCACGTGTTGAAAAATCAGGTGCGTAAAGCTGGCACCCCCACCTTTACAAAATTCAAATTTCTTTGTCTTAACATTTTGTGCTCTTTATGTGCTAATTATGTGCTACATTCGCAAATTTTGTGCTAGCTCGGTTTTTGGAAAAAAATTCAATTTTTCTGTGGGGGTGCTGGGTACTAATAAAGCTAGCACCCCCACCATTAAAAAATGTGTTCAAATAATCAAAAATAGGTAAAAACTTATCAGCAAATTATGTGCTCTCCGAAAATCATATTCATAAATTAAAATTTCCACCCTTAAGTTCGAAAAACCACCCCCATTCAGAAATCCACAAGAGGTAACTACCCGATGGCGTGGAGAAAATTGAAACTTCTTATACTTAAATTACTCCCAGAATTATGTGCTTTCCGAATATCGTAGCGCCGAATTTTGTGCTCAACCCCCAAGGTCCCAAACCCCCCCCATTAAAAATTTCACAAGAGGTAACTACCCGATGGCATGGAAAAAATTGAGACTTTATATACTTCAATTACTCCCAGCATTATGTGCTATCAGAATATCATAGCGCCGAATTTTGTGCTCAACCCCCAAGGTTCCAAACCCACCCCCATCAAAGAATCCACAAGAGGTAACTACCCGATGGCGTGGAGAAAATGGAAACTTCTCATACATAAATTACTCCCAGAATTATGTGCTTTTCGAATATCGTAGCGCCGAATTTTGTGCTCAACCCCCAATGTCCCAAACCCACCCCCATTAAAAATTTCACAAGAGGTAACTACCCGATGGCATGGAAAAAATTGAAACTTTATATACTTAAA